GCCATAGTGTGTGGGCAGACGGGCTGTGGAAGACCGTTTTCGTGCTGGATATGTGGGAGGGGTACTACCGGAATGTGTTTGATAACATCGTTATCATGTGCCCTACTCTGCACATGAATAGAACGTACACGGAAAGACCTTGGGTGATGACGGACCCGGACGTACACAGAGTCGACCCGGGGACACGTCTGCAGGACTGGTTGAAGGCTTATCACAACAAATTTAAAGGGGAGTCGACGCTGTTCATACTGGACGACTGCAGCTCTAATCGAGAGATAACAAAAAAGAGAGACATGCTATCGTACCTGGCCTTCTCCGACCGGCACGCAAAGCACAGCGTCTGGGTGCTAACGCAGAAGTTCAACTCGGTGTTGAAAGACCTCAGGGAGCAGACACGATGGGTGGCCTTATTCCACTGCAAGGACAGGGATTTGTTCGAGGAGTGTTTGAGAGAGAACGATGTGATGAATAAACATGATAGGGAATCGGTGAAGAAACAGCTCGCTGAAACTAAACATGCTAAGCTCGTGCTCAAGACCGACTAACCCGTGGCCTATAGGGTGTTTTAGCTTAGCAATGCTTAGCAATGCTTAGCAAAGCTTAGCAAATGCTTAGCAATTAATTGTTACAGTTCTATACGATGGGTGTTTTTGAAGTGTTAGTCGTGTGCAACTTAATCTTCATTTTGCTGTGTTTCACCTGCATCGGGTATTATATTATTAAAACTAAAACTTGCTTATTACATTATAAGATGGAGTGTGATGAATTGCTAGAACAACTGTTGGTTCCACAGGATCAACTGTCGCCACAGGTAAGTGACGACAAGCGAGAGAGACTGGTGGCGCTGGCTGTTGGTGGTAAAGCCAAACATTACTTTGGGGACTACACTCCCGATAAAATTCACAAAACGTCAGCCGAAGAAATCGATAAGCTGTACGCGAGATACGAGGCTAGACTCGGGGCCGAGATGACAAAGACTATAGGATCGGCTATGACCCAGATATACACTGGTATAGTGTCGTACTTCCTTCCCATTCCCCAGGAACGCCGACTTTACCTGTGGGAGGACCTTGAGAAAGACCCTTTTATTGAACACGCCTTGAGCTCTATCAGCTGCGTGGTGTACCACAAATACGGTATGTTTTCAGCCCCGGTGACGGCGGCGATTATCACAGCAAAGCATTGCCAATTTAAGGAGGGGAAAAATAATAATAATTGTATACAAGTAGATGCTGCCCAAGAAATGACACAGGAGAACCCTCAAGAGGAAACCCTCCCAAGGTGACCCCTACAGTCACCAGGCAGAAGAACCCTAAGAGAGTAGCTGCCGGTAAAAAAAGGTGGTCTAACCAACATAAGAGTAACTACGCTCCACTCCTGTTGATTGCAGGCGCAACTGCTGCCGTGGTTATCTCATGGTTATATAATAAACAACCACCCAGGGAGCCCCGGGAGGAGCCCCCACAATTTGAGGTCAACCCACATATCATGTTATAAATATATATTTTTTTATCATATACATAATGTCTGAGGGGAAAACGTTCGTCAACGACGCATACCACGCCACTGTGGTCGCTAGTCTAGCCGTAGGGTACGCTCAGTTGACCCAAATGGTGCTTAAACAACCGACTATCAAGCTAGATTTCAACCTGCAGGATATGGGTATGCTCATAATGAACCTTGGTATGGCGATGGCCACCAAGGACATCCTAGTAAAACAAGGGATCCTACCGGAAAATATTTTGAAGTAAATGTAACTATATATAGGATGGCTACGATCGCCATGATGGTCGGCGGGGCGTTAGTAAACGCCCTGGCATTTTCCGGGAGTAATTTCCTCTTCTCGAAACTACGGGAGTCGAACGCGGCCAAGATACAAGCTGAACAAAAGCGCCACGACCTGGCCTTTGAGAAATTTCATGCAGCGCAAGCCGAGTACGCGAAGAAACGTGTACAGAGGATCGATTACATTAATGAACAACTCAGGCGTGAGAACCATGCCGTTAAAACATTCCATGATGTCGACGACACAATGAGAGAATACTACCTACTAACAGGTAAACAGCTAGAACCACTCCCTCCTAAGCCCACATTCGCTCAGTACTACACACCATCCCCGGGGGCAAATGGACTGGGAATTGATCTTTATCGCGCTGGGTCTAGCAGCGACTGCGTTGGTTGTGAAACAATTAGACTAAGTACTCATATAAGTATACCAAAGATGAGACCCGCCCCGTACCGATGTCAGTACATATGTAGGGGGAAGGCTGAGACCTGTGGTAGGAAATGTAGGATGGAGGGTTATTGCTGTTTTCATAGAAATTGTTTTGTGAACTACACGTGTTCAGTGTGCGGTATTGGAGTGAGATGTCACTACTGTTTATGTAAAGACCACGGGGCAAACGTAGTCAGGCACCAGCTTATGTACGAGAAGAAAAAGGCCTACATAAACGAATGTATGCGCCTCCTTAGCATGGAGGTGTAGTGACCCAATTAGAGACTGTGTACACATAGGTATAATGATGTTCGTGGAAGTTGAGCCTAGAGAAAGTCGTTGCCTGAGAAGCTGGCAAATGGATGTGGGGGGAAAGTATAGATATCAGTGTCCTCAGACCTATTATTGTTGGTGAACTCTATAAAGCACTGGAGGAGGAGGGCTTCGCAGTTTCAATCATGGTGAAAGCAGGGACTTGTAATTACTTTGATGGTGGGAAAGGAGATGTGTATCAACTCGGGGATATAAAGGAGTTTGTTGACACCTCGTTGGAAATAATACAAAACACCCTCGCATGTTCCGGGGAGGGTATAATCGATGAGGTCTATTTAGATATTTACTTAACGCGCCTTATTATTTTTTGAGGGTTGGAGGAGTTACCTCCCTTGCCGGTGGCCCAATTAGAGATTGTATACGCTTTGGTATAACAATGCCTACTACTCGGGAGCTCAAGCAGATCTCCAGAGAGCGAGGTGTAATTGGTTACTCTCGAATGATCAAACCAGCGTTGTTGAGATTACTTAAAATACACCTCCCTCCCACGGTAAAACAACTAAAACTCCGAGCAAAAGAGCTTGGGTTGACGGGTTATTCCCCCCTGGGGAGAGCCGGGTTAGTCGCATTATTAAACGACCCCGTAGCAAAGCCCCACACTGTGAAACAACTCAAACAGGAGGCCCGCGAGATGGGGTTAATAGGTTATTCCCGTATGAGGAAGCCACAGCTTGTAGAACTATTACGGCAGAATAGAGCTATTGACCTAGAGTTCACTGAGCGCGCTGTAGGTAACTATTTGAGAGGCTGGCGAAGCATGTTGATAGGAACATAGACATCGCCGATATCAAGCCTCTAATCGCTGATAAAGTCAATGAGGAACTAAACGATTTGGGAAGTATAAAGTTTCAAATCACAGTGAAAATGTCACTCGATAAACAGCAGAAAGTGGGGGGAACCCCCAATGGGGGGTCATTGAGTACGTTCAGCCTTACTTCCGAGGTAACCGGATGTCGTGACTCATACCGAGACTATAGACGAGTCAATCGATATCAGTTTTCAGTAGATACGAGAATACCTAGAACGCTACACACACATGGGGTCCGGGTGGGTTGTTGATAAAATCGATAATGTCTATCTAGACATAGCTAACTACGTGCCATTCAGAGGGGGGTCGTACATAGACATACCCAATAGCTTTCACCAGGCCGACCTCCTATTCCTACCCCACGACAAGAGGTACAAGTATGCCCTAACCGTCGTGGACGTGGCCAGTCGCTACAAGGAAGCCGAACCCTTGACCCCGAAAGACTCTGCCCAGGTAGCCAGAGGATTCGAACGCATGTACAAACGCAGTCCGCTGACGTGGCCCACAGAGCTGCAAGTCGACCCCGGGCGGGAGTTCATGGGTGCCGTGTCACACCTGCTAGACAAACACGATACCAAAGTCAGACGTGGCACGGCCGGGGCTCATCGCAGCCAAGCCATAGTTGAGAGATTCAATAGAACTTTGGCCGAGCGCTTATTCGGGCATCAGTATGCGAGAGATGGCCAACCCAGGGAAATGATCGACTGAATGGGTAGCGCGGTTACCTCAGGTGGTGTCGCCTATCAACCACGAAACCATCCGTCTCACCGGCAAGAAACCAGCAGACGCTATCAAACTAAAATCAATAGTGGCAGAGTCGGCTGCACCATTGCGTGGGAAGGAGAAACAGATACCCGATAGGGCCCCCGTGAGGTACCTGTACCAGCCGGGGGAACACGAAGGGGACACTCGGAAACGAGCCACCAATCCGATATGGTCAGTCAAAACTTACAACATAGATAAAGTAGACATCAAAGCCGACGAGCCGAACTTGTACTACTTGAGAGATGGGCCAGGGAGAGGTTTCGTCAGAGAGGAATTATTAGTCATACCGTACGGCACAATGTTACCCCCCCAAGCAAAATATTTAACACTTACCAAGTAATCCCCCAATAGTATCCTATAACCAGCTCGCATTAAACTGTTTCCTGTCAACACGACATAGGGTAATCACAATAGTGCCATGTGATCAGGAAAGTGCTAGTTCACGGTCATAGCGACACTATTGTGTCACGTGGGGTCGGGAAGTTAACTGGGGGTTCAAAAGTAGTAGACAATGGAGGGCGAGATCTAAGGGCCTGACAAAAGCTTTATTTGTGAAATAAAGCTTTGCAGAGGCTTTTGTTGGACTTGGTCTCGGACCGCTATTGTATCTACTACTTGTTGATTTTAATTTTGAATTACTTAAGAGGTGTGCATGATAAATTGTGCAAATATGTAACTTTTTTCAAAGGTAGTCAGGTGCAACTTGCATTAGAATATATATGATCATGCATTTGGTATCTCAGTGTTGATTAACATGTTAATTTGTTGAAATTATGGTATACTAATCATGCGGTTGGGCTCTTATATACAGATATTAAACACATTTCAGGTTCGTGAGTGGTTCCAGGTGTGGACCCAGGGATATCAGCTATTGACAGATGTAGGATGATATATATGTGAGTTGATTTAGAACTTCCTCTGTGGACTACAGATCTATTGTGATATTCATAATGAAAGCTACGGCTGATAAAACCTTAACTCTCTTAACTTCATGAATTGCTATATTTCTTATGTTTACAGGTTCAAGAAATTCCTTCTGTCTCTGGCTGACTTGTCCACCTTCCCTCCAGTGGGTTTACATGTCACAGGATACCAAGTACCTCTCTGGGAGGCAACCACTGCATCAGCTGATGCTGACATGTTCATGTATGCCATTTGCAAGTGTCAGACCTACAACAACTTTAAGGGGCTCTGAGTAGTCAGCCATGCCAAAAAACTGACATGTCTTGCAACTATGCCAGGTGCCAGGAATGGACGGCCTCCTCATCTGAGTGGAGCTTGAGGTCAACTTTGCCAAACTTTATGGGGAGAGCATTGTAAGACAAGATCCCACCAGGTAAGTCCCACACCGTACTAGGAAGGCTGGTGTTGTTTGACATTTAAAAGTCATATATGTTTAACTAGTGGCGTTTTCTAACAAACACTGGCTGATAGTTTTGTTTACCTTTACTTTTTACTATTAATAGCAGTGTGGTAGCTTATTGTTTAGATGACTAACTCATCAGTGCGCCGTGGTTTACAGTGTGATTCCACAGGTTTAACTATTTGATCATCTGATTTTTCAACTGATTGCTTTCTTGCAGAAGTCTTGGTGTGAGATTTTCAAGTATAATAATGTTGGTCCTCTTCCATCACAGTTGAGCCCCTTACACACACACATTCCATTCCACTAAAAGTGTTCTTCAATCCTATTACAGGACCACTTGTTTGATGCCCCCAGTAGGCTACATTGTGTGAGGAAACCCAAGCAGGGTATGTCAAGCCTGCATGAACCTGGTCTTGGAGCTACCACAAAGTCAAGGAAAGCAAGATAAAGCGACTAATAAGAGCTGGTCTTTCTGTTGCCCACTGTGATGAACATGTGTCCAAAAGTTGAATCTGTTATGTTTTTACATATGCACTTTCATAATGTGTAAATATGGGAATTGGTAAGTTGGACATGATGTGATGTTGTGTCTTACGTAAACAGAAAATAACACATTTTTACCTGCTGGTTATCATTGGACAAAGAAAGTCATATTCAGATTTGTTAATGAATAAAACATTTGAACTTCATATATGGCTGTAAATATATCTTTATTAGAAGTTAACATGGTTGATAAAAACAACATTAAAATACAGATCATTGCACTTATTTGTTAGTTATCTTTGCCATTATCACATAGCTAACCTGGTTAGCCTGGCAAGCATCCTTCCTACTACTTCCAGAACACAAAGTCACATGAACAAACATTACAAGCATGCACAAGTATTTTCCAACATCAACAAGAATTTACAACCTCTAACACCAGAAAAAGAACTTTGAGGAAATTCTATGAGTAAATCTAAACAAATGAACATCAAATAAGCAAAGGTGGTATGGTTATAGTGGCAAATATAATTCGGGTTTCCAAATTACGTAGTTGGGAATCTGACAACTGGCCATGGTCATTCATTCTACCAATAAAGAAATGTCATGACAGATTGTTATGAGTTTACCACAACCTGTATTTGGGTGCATGCTCATCATGGAGCAGACTGTGGATTTTTTCCCTTGGAAGCGAACCACTTCTCACAATCACCACATTCAAATTCTTTGGCTTCACTTTTTTTTGGGTAGAGAAAGACTTGTCACATGCTCCTTCATATGCTCGTGCATACCAGATACCCCGAAATGTAACTTTACTGCAAACCTTGCACTTGACAACACCAGTCTGTTTGTGTACTTTAGCAAACTTCAGCGTTTGGTTGATAAGGAAAGACTTCCCACACAATTCACATGAGAATTTGACATCTTTAGTGTGGCGCCTTACTTGCAGGTTCAAGGAGCCTTAGGTCTAGACAATCTTCCCTCAGATCCCACACTGTAAAGATGGTTTATTTGTAGGTTTGTGCTCAGTCTCTGCTGCAGCAAAAAATGTCTCATCTATCCTGGAAGCGTTGATCTGTGTCTCATCTTAGTGAGACACATCCAGGAAACTTGTGTCAACTTGTTGCTCAAGTCTTGAACACTTCTGTAGACTGTGATCTGTAAGTGTCAAACCAAGAGAATAACATGAAATAAATTCAGAAAATATTAATCAAAACTAATTATTATGAGTTTATTTTAAAGAATGAAAAGGGGTGTGTGTGTGTTATGTTTGTCACATATATTTACAATCTAATTTAACCGAAAAAAACCCAAGAGAACTGAAACTGAAGGGCAATAATCTACCTCTTTGAGTGAGAATCGCAGCTGGTGACTCTGGCACATTGGAAGATTTTGGTATTGGTCAGACTCCATGTATAATCTCTGTCGACGGAGTTTCAGGAACCGTAGGGAGGTCACAACTATCAGACATCACGCCCATCTGTCCACCAGATCCCAGCACACTCGGCGACTGTGTATGTGCCACAACAAACATGATGGTCTGGTAAGTGTATATGTTAAACAAAGTAATATAGGTTCAATCACAATTAGACATGAATAAAATGCATACTGTCCGCACTCTCTTCCAGGTTTAAAATGAATACGTTACAAATATGGGGCAATATACAAGTTAACTGCATTCTGGAAAATCAATGGAAATATTGCTCAAGTCGTCATCGAGCGAGCCAGCTCCCCTTCCACAAAATCCCCAATACCATTCGGAAAGATTTCCGCCCGTAACCTATATATATTTTAACCATTCTTTGCCTAAGAATAGGCCTATGGTTTTTATAAAAACAAACTAAATCTAACCCAAAACCCTAAACCTAACCCAAACCCTAAACCCTCGAAATAATCCTAATAAATAGAATTCATTTCAAGCAGGGGTTACGGGTGGAACTCTTACCGATAAATTTTCTAAAGCTATGTAAGAATTCACTCAAAGCAAAGGAGGTTGGCAGCCTCATTCCGCCAACCTCAGCGTGAAATCTGTTTGACTTCCATACAAAAACGCAGATAATGGACACAAAATACATTTTTTACGAAGATGAAGTATTGCTATCAAAGGGGGGGTGATAATGTGCGCTCAATGCACACTACCTTCTAAATCAGAATTACATTCTGTGCAGCTAAGCATTGATTGAAACACTTACCCTTTTCTCTGCTCCTCTGTTGGCAGCCATTTTTCGCTCGCTGTGACGACAGGAAGTGTTGGCGTTGTTCGGCAAAATGTGGAATTTATTGGAGATGACCGAAAGTTTTCGGCTGCCGATGTTTTAAGTGCCAATAACGGTTCCAAGTGCTTCCGATGCCAACCGCTTTTACAACGATAGTTGCTGCATTCACAACACATTTAATGCTAAACACACGATATAGTTTACTTTACATCCAAAAAAGCTTCTTTTTAAATCAAATAGATTGGAGGGCCTGTAACTGGTACAATGTCTCCTACAGGAATGGCAACAATTTACGCCTAACATCATTCGTCGTCTTGCATCATCAATGTTTTGTAAACTTAATCAATTTTAAAATATAATGGTAAGGCATAGTTGAAATCATGCGACAGTCTTAAGTCTGTATATAGCAGACCCTGACCAGTAACAATTCCAGAAACTCATCCTTTCTACAGATTCAAGGTGTTGGCAGTGAACTGCACAAAGTGTTAGGTTCAGTTGTGTTAGATATTGTCACTGAGGATCAGAAAGTTTCACAAAAATTCTGTATAAGCACATTTAGGTTATCACTGATGCAGCATCTAGATGGTGTGAAGCCTTTCTCCTCAGGACCCAAGATGTCATATGTTCTTGTGAGAGAAATATTTTGCCAGTATTGTGCTCCAAGGACCTTAATTTCAGACAGAGGTCAGAACTTTACGTCAAAACTAATCAAGGCCTTTTTGTGAACTTATGAAATTTACTCTTACTAGTCCATACCATCCCCAAACAAATAGCTGTGTAGAGCCTATTGTAACAAAACTATAAATGATTGGCCCTGTTTTCTTCCAATCATTATGATTGCCTATCGAATGGCCCCAAATTCATCAACACAAAAGTTCCCTTTTGTTATGCTTTTCAGCAGAGAAATTTATAAGTTCACAAGATGTTTCATTAATTCCAGAAGAAAATGTAGGCCACAACATCAAAAGCTACCTTTCACAATTGCCTGAGAAATTAGACATTACAGGAACAAATGCATCTGAAAACACTGCTATATTGTTAAAAAGTTGAAAAAGGCCTTTGGAACAAATGAACTAGAAACTGGTATGGCAACTATTACACCATCCGTTTAGGTTGAAAATTCACTAACAAACTATGCCAAAGTTCTAATGCGTAATTACACAAACCATTGGTCCTTGCCAACCATCTGAAGCCATATTTTGATCCTCAGTATCCTTCAGAACCATATTGCAACAACACCACAATATGGATTCAGGAGTCACAGATGACAATGAGGAACCAGTCAATGACACACAGCTTGACAATGCCCAGTCAACAAGTTCTACCAATGCACAACAGAAAGGTAGGAAAGTCAATTCAACACCCAAGACAGGCAATCAAAAGATTCCAACCAAGAAATAGAAAGGCATTCTGGAAAATCTCGGGTTCTACAACCATCCCAACAACCTTCTTCAAGCAATGACACCAAGGTTTTCAATGTGTGACATTATGATCAACAAGTGTGGAGACAGATGGCAACAAATTATGAAGTAAACAGTGCTGACATGTAATGTAGTTATTCCTTCCAGTGTCTGTTGGGTTCTATGGGTTTTGAGGTAAAGAACATGATAACAATGACACATGTGGGTTATTCATGAGAATTATGGAATTATTATAATGGATGGACAGACAGACAGACAAATGGATGACATCCTTCGTTTTCAGTCAGGTGAGCTAAAAAGGAAACACAAATTACTCATGTGTTCTCAGTGTTCCAAGTCACAGTATGGTTCTAGCAATTTACAGAATGTGCTAGCTTTCTGGTCTCTGTGGTTTCTGATAAAAGTGAGTGACAGTTTTAGGTTTTCCGGACACTGAAAAACTAACATTATCAAATTGCAAGCGGGGATTAACAGCCCAAGCAAACTTACGTCCCCAAAATTTCAAGCTGAAGAAAGATGACAGTGGATACTTACCACAGATAGCATAACTATGGTTTGTATGGTCAAGACAGCTGAGGGTTTGGAAGCGAACTGTCGCCGGCTTACTGTTGACCTTATAAAATCTGTCAAAGGTATGCACCTGGACACTGTAGTTCCGACCAAACATTAAGTTCACCAGTTCGTACTTGAACTCAGGCCATTCCTGGACAACATGAAAAAAATATTAGTATAATTCAGTAAATAACATTCAGATTTATTAATATTTAGCACTCACCTGTCACCAAGTTAGCATAGACATGTACCACACAAAAACAAGATCTTGCAGCTTGCATTTATGTGTTGAGTCAAACAAAAGTGAGAGTTAAATTGTTGGCCGCACATGGCCCATAATTTATCTGCCTTTGAAAATGTTTCCTTGTTTGAAATGAAGGATGTTTTTGTGACATGCGCGCTGTTATGTGGCAGTAGATTTTTAAGTAGGTCTAACATAATTATTATTATGCTGATATTTGTATAGCACCAATATCCAGCTCAGCTGCTCAAAGGTGCTTTCCATTGATCATTGGATGTCAATCTCAAACAGCACATCTTACAACTCATCATACAACTCTTACAGCCACTAGGCACACCGAGTTAATGTGGCTTTCCCATCCTTACGAGGTACCCATTCACAGTTGGGTGGACTGGGACACATAGTCACACTACTTTGTTTGCTGCATGTTGCTGTACCCGCAACTAAGTGTTTGCACATATTCATGTGGCCAACATCTGGTCATTAACCAACAGATTCAGGGTTCTTTTAAGTGCACAGGGTTGTGTACTGTACACTAGGGGTTGAGACAACACTGAAAGAGTCTGCACACAAAGTTGACTCATAAGTGTGGCAGACACCAGTTCTTATAATCAGCTAAATTCTGTCAAGAATAACTTACTGGTATATCCCTTGCATGAAAGGAATCTTTCATGTCCCCATCTCCCATCCAGTAAAGCTTAAAGAAGCAGCCACCTCCTGTAAAATAGGGCCAGTACTTTTCAAAATAAAATCTATTCATTAAAAATGCACATTTTACATTTCAACAATGATAAAATAAGTTCATTTCAAAGTCATTATATGACAAACTGCAGGAATGCTGTTGTATTGGCAGACGTTTGATTGCTGAACAAATTCGTAATGAGTTGCATGATGTGTGATGTTGGCAGCTTGAGATGTCCCATGAGAATAAAAGCATGTGTGACAAACACGTCCTTTTCTGTTTCTCCACTCCTTACTAGCAAAACCAACTAAACCATACAAGTGCTGTACATCATAAGTCAGGGATGTAAATGAATAATGTGGACAGCAATAACAATTAACATGAATTCTGACATGCTTAAGTTTGTATGATGTAGTTCTTAATCTAAGGGCCTCATTTAAGGTCTGGTTTATGACAATTACAAAAGAGTTTCATAGACTAATAATAACATGTTTTGTCTTGAAAGACTGAAATTAGATAAAATTTTCATAATTTACAATGATTTCTAACACTTCATGAACCACATCATGTCTAATGTGTTGGAAAATTTGTGTACATACACCTATTGTCTGTAAAATTAAAAATTACTTACACACAACTCATTAATTTGTATAACATAACAGGATAGACATCAAACCATAACATTCATGTATATGATCTACTGTAAATAAAATAACAATATCATGATTATATAAAACCGATGCTATAAACAGAGTTCATTGCAAGATTCCAGCTATATCATATACATGTGATAATGAATCACATTTAAACAGTGATGATACCAAGAAAAGGTGAACATATTTTTGCCTACTGGTGACACTTATAGACATACAGGGAATTGCACTGGGCAGTGCTCAAAAGAAACTATACACTGCAAAATATTACGTAAACATTCACAAACATAAAAATGACGTGATAAAACTATGCTGAACCATGTCACTCATGTTCAAACCCATCCTTTCCGGTGTAACAGACGTGGATTGCTCTGTCTTGCGGAAACTACATGTTAAATGTGTGGTTCTACTTTGCGTTGTGTTTTTCCCTTCCAACTGGCATGTTTACCACAAGAGGGTACGCTCCAGGTATAAACCTGTAAATCCGTGAGCAGAATTTCTCCTCCACGCTGTTTCCCAGTTACGAGATGCAGCCTTGCAATTCAGGACATAAGACAAAATTCATATCACCATTTTATTTACACCAGAACTCCAAACGGAACAAACGATACAAAATATATTGCTGGTAAGTTTAACCAATATCCAAATTAAATTAACAACCACGATCCCCACCTAATATAAATCTAGAATACTACAACTGTCTCTTAACAGCGGTAGTTGGTTTGTAAATAACCACCCGTCCTTCCCGCCTCCTAACAATTACCCTGTATATATACATAAATATATCCCTAAAACTAAATACCTTTATTCCCCTCAACCACCTATACCTATGTCTACCCTCCTACTTCCTAAGTGCTTCCTAAGTAAGAGAAGGGGATCAACTGTTTCATCTCGAAACAAGGACTGGTCCGTCATGGAGCAAATTCTCCTTTATCACAAACTAAACTGATAAGCTGTATCGTCTCGAAACAAGGGCTCACCTATCCTCAGGTGTCGCCAAGTCAGACAATAAAACACCTGTTGCGCGCTCCTTATATACGCAATAGCGGGCCTGTCCCACTAAGCTGGGAGCACACCCCGACCCTTGGAATGCAACCTTTCAGTGCTTGCAGCCAATCGCTGCGCCGAAACGGCGAGCGAAACCAAACAAACCAGCGACAGCCGTAACCCGCATGTCTCTGCGAACACCGGTAAGAAAAATCCATTTAATATACCAGAATTTATACCCCCCAACTAAGTTACCAACGCTAGCCCACCCCTTTCTAATATCTATAGCACCTATTATACTTATCCCCCGTTACACCGGGAACAAACGGCGAAACAAGTTAGCAAATCACGTAAATGTCTCAAAAAATCCAAAATGACCCTTTCTGTCGTAACACAAAATGCGAAAACAGCCTTCATTACATGTGAACAACCCAGTTGTAAAAGAACACCAAAAATGTAGCACATTTGAGGCAATTGAAAGAGAAAGAGAGACAGCTGTGGGAATGGCTCAACAAGGAGCTAACCACACCATCATTGCCAAAACCTTCGGCTGCACCCACGCAACTGTCATCAGACTGATACAATGACTAAGACAAACAGGCAATAAGTCAGACAGGCCTAGGAGTGGCCAACCAAATGTGACAACGCCCAGTGATGATCGCCACATCTGGGCAATTCATCTGAGAAATAATTTTGTAACGGTGACGACAACGGCAGCGATGACAACTAGGACACTGTCTCAGTCGACATACAGTGTACTGGTGACTATAAGAAACCTACCTCAGAGTGTATCTGACTCTTCAAAACTGATGTCATCGATTGACATGGGCCAAGCGAGTACAAATGTATGATTGGCGATTGTGATATACACTGATGAGAGTAGGTTCTGCCTGTACAGTAATGAATGCCAGGCTCATGTTTATAGACAAGTAGTGGAACGTTTAGTGTCGAATTGCATTCAGTTATGGGAATACCTAGATCGACAAATCAGAAGACAACCAGCACCACCTGTCACCGCTCAACAACTGGAACAATGTTTCCTACAGGAATGGCAATGGATCATGCAAACATCATTCATAGTCTTATGTCATTAATGCGTCAACATGTTTTTGCATGTATTGAAGCTAATGGTGGTCACACTCAATATTGGTTCAACATTTGACAACATTTAGCAGAAGAAAAATGCCTTTGTGTAAAAGTTCAGACTATGATACCACGTGTCTTTTAGTGACAGTCAAACAGTACTTTTGGCTTTGTATGAAATGAAATTGTGTATGTTTGCTAAACAGATGTTCATTTATATATGCTTTTCTTTTTAAGTTTGGTTAAACACACTGTATACTTTCTTTTGAACACTAGTTCATTTGACCTTGACATGTCAATTTGGGAAATGGATGAAGGAGAAAAGCCATCAAACATGTATCATGGGATAAATGTGAGCATGAAATTCATATGAAAAGTGCAGGTATCACTTGCTTAAATTGATAAAGTGACATATTAGTACTTGTGTAACGTGAGGTGACTGTGTGCTAAACCCTTCTACCTCGGTCACTTGGTTTGACCACCCCTCTAGTCTGGGGCTGATGTAGCTAAAGATTGGTATTCAATGATAAGTCTGGTATGTCATTCAAGTCCCTTTTTAGGAATACAGTTGAACCCCGTTTATCCGGACATTTTGGTTACACTTGGAAATCGTCCGGATAGCGAGGCGTGCGGTTAACTGGATCAAACAAGCAAAACGTAACGACAATGTATATTGAAAATTTATTCATGTATGTACATCAATAAGTCAATAGTCAAAACATATAATCATAACATATAAATGGATACCAATAAAATTTCTTTCAGCATGTTAATTCACGTTATACATTTTACATAGCACATCTTACTTGACTCGATATCACATATCACATATAGCACATTATTTCCTTCAAATGTCTGTGATAGATGTCTGCTTCCTTGGTTTATTTCTTCAAGTCTCTTCAACAAGTCCATCAATAAATTCACTGAACCTTCGTTGCCATTGCATTCATAGATGGCCAACAGACGTAACAACTGTTTGTTGTTCATCGTCATCTCACTGGTCGCCTGTCGGTGGCTGCGGTGTGTTGATGATTTCTTCGTCGCCGTCACTTCGTGGTAACTGCTGCATCAAATTCCACAGCTCAGCTTAATCCTAATCCTAATTAACATGAGTTTTCATTACTGATGAGATGTTCTCACATCTGCCACCACTGAAGTGACACGCGTCCCTAGTGTTTTGATGGGTAAGTAATCAATTCACATCAAACGCCTGCCGAGAGACTAACAATGAATACACTTAGTCATGCGGTAAACAATACAAAACATATACATGCACATGTGCACAGATCCTTCCATCCGGATAACTGGATTATTTTTCAATGGAAATCTATGGGAATGGTTTGAAACTTCTCCATCCAGGTCTGGAAGCACGGGGTCCGGCTAAGCAAGTACAATTACTGAAGGCAAGTTTCGTTTCACCTAAAAATCGTCCGGAAGGCGGGGTTTCCAGATATACGGGGTCCGAGTAAACGGGGTTGGACTGTATAACACATACAATGGTCCTCAGCAATGTTTTCCTGTCTTGCCTGACACAGATTCGCAAGAATACCTAGAACTTGATAGCATTCACTTATTCACACTTACAACATATAACTCTTTAACTGCATCATAACCATTTTCTCAACATACAAATAGAACCTCTCTAGCCAATGGTTGGGCCCAGAATCGTGCAATATAAACAAAATAGTATTGATGACAATTCTGACTCCTCCTACTGAATGTCCTATGTTATACAAAAATAAGTCATATCCCATCTTCTCAGGCCCATTCTGTTCACAGTCTACATTCTCCCCATTGATGACATTATCAGGAGGCATTTCACTGGTTTCCACATATATATGCGGACGATACGCAGCTCTACATTGCCTTTGAATCAGATGATGTTTCACTCAATATCAACAAACTTGAGCTCTGCATTCAGGAAATCAAACTCCAACTATTTGATGTTGAATGAGGAGAAGACAGAGTTCCTTTTCATTGGCTCCAAACATCAGCTCATAAAGTTGATGACTGCTTCTCCATCACCTTCACTTCGTATTGGCGACACAGACATCCTACCATCAGAAAGTGCCAGGAATCTTGGTGTCATCCTCGATTCCAACATGCCCATGGATGCACACATAACCTCCATCAGTAGAGCCTGCCAGTACAACATCCATAATATCAGCAAAGTCTGCCATTACCTCGATACTGACACCTGCCGTGTCACTTCTAAACTCGACTACTGTAATTCACTATATGCCAACCTCTCTACTAAATCACACCAGAAACTACAAACAATCCAAATCTCCGCTGCTAGATGTATCATCCAC